CACGGTATTGGCGACCATTGACATCTGCATGCAACTCCTTAACTACTATTACTCATGAATCTCTCCAGATACAGTTTGCAACCTTGTCTCTGAGTGGCTCTCTCTAGTTTGTTTCTGCATTAGGCATGATAAGTGCATTTTAGAAACTGACAGTAAAAGATTAATATGCTCATAACCATCAAAGAGAACCTTTCACTGATTTCAAATAGCTGCCCTCCCTTCGACCGCCCACCCTGGCACACCATCCAATTAATACTTACTCACGAAGGCTTCCTCATCCACCGGCAAGCGCATTGACATGCAGAAGTACGTATCAGACTGGTAGAGAAAGAAAGATACAAAATCTGAATTAATCTGCAGCTAGTAAAGAAGGAAAAATAACAAGTAAAAGCATGGGCTCTATGACTGAAAAAGAACTATTGGCCCAATGAGGTGAAGATGCCTGCTGAATGGGTGTGACCAAGTTAATAGAAGGGCCAAGTCTAGAACTTAGGTACTCCAAACATTTTTCTAAGACTCTTTCCTAATTGACCTCAAATCCTATTTATAACACCAATTATTATGACTGATATTTCTAGTTCTGTCACAGTTAAAAGGCAACATTTTAGATACTTCTATAAAAAGAGTGAAATACTTTATGCACTTGACTTTAAAATGGTAGGTTAGCTGGTGTTGACCATCTTCACTGTATGCATAATTATTCAATTTCTTGAATCACTTTACAACTGCCCCAAATATTAATTAGAGAAGTACAATGAAAAAAAGTTGGTCTTAAAAGGTAATATTATATTTGGTTCTCCCTTACTTTAATATTTTTATGTAGTACATTGAAGAAATCAACATTAACTCAAGTTATTCTTTCTTTTCCAGCAACCAGTCAGTCTCTTACCTAAATGGCCATTTTTCCACTATCAAATGTATTAACACCAAGAATTTTTAGTGATGAAAACTGTAATTTAAGGAGAATGGGATTCTCTTTTCATCTATGCATTCCACTTCATTAGTGGAAGACCTGTGCACCATAGTTGGTAATATACCCCACACAAATACTGCATTTAGTAATTCATACTTCATGGATTATTACTATACAGTGCTGGGATCAAGAGATTCCATAAACATGGATAGAGATCATTTGGGTATCTCTGAACCTACTAGTTAGCGTTGAAAAACTGTGAAATCTGTACCTCTTCTTAAAATTCTGTATTGGGTGGGAAACAAAGAAGTTCAAATATACAGCAAATCAACATCTCAACTTTTGAAAAATTTGATAAATATGGTTCAGTCTTTATTACTATTTTAAAAAACTTTTAATGTCTATTTTTGAGAGAGAGAGAGAGAAAGAGCACAAGTCGGGGAGGGGCAGAGAGAGAGAGGGAGGCACAGAATCCAAAGCAGGCTCCAGGATCTGAGCTGTCAGCACAAAGCCCGACACAGGGCTCGAACTCATCAGCTGTGAGATCATGACCTCAGCCGAAGTCGTCAGATGTCCAACCGACTGAGCCACCCAGGCACCCCCATTACTACTCCTATAAATGCCATTTTTTTTCTCAATTAAGCAAACTCTTCTGTTTAAAAAAATTTTTTTAATATTTATTCAGTTTTTGAGAGAGAGAGAGATAGACAGAGTGAGAGCAGAGGAGGAGCAGAGACAGAGGGAAACACAGAATCCAAAGCAGGCTCTAGGCTCCAAGCTGTCAGCACGGAGCCTGACACGGGGCTCGAACCCACGAACTGTGAGATCAAGACCTGAGCCGAAGTCAGCCACTTAACCAACTGACCCACCCAGGCACCCCGAACTCTTTTGTTTCTTTAATGGATTTACAATTATTTAGATTCACCTTTACTTTCCTGAGAAGGAAATATGCTGGGAAATATTGAAGGTTGAACAGTAAGGAGGTTAAGTGACATAAATGATGGACATGTGGCCTGCATATCTAAAACTCGAGAAATACAATGGCAAAATGATGCTTAAAGATCTTAGAATCACACACAATATTGCTCATAAATATTTTTCCAATCTCTGAATTATTACCATTACAAAACGTACCTACTCCATTCTAACATAAAACACAGGAAGTTTAAGATTCTTTGCTATTTGGTCATCCTGATCTAGAAATAATTCAGGACTAGAAGATATTTAGTGGCTACTACAGAGCTGCGGCAACTATTACTATTTCTAAGCCAACAGTTATAGAATGCTTTTTATGTGTCAGGCATAGCTCTTCATGTTTTACTTGTATTATATCATTTAATAACTAAAACAATCAAATATGATAGATAGATACTATTATGAACTCCATTTAAAGACAGTGAGAATAATCACTAACATTTATTCACAGCACTGCTCTAAACACTTTACATGTATTAACTTCTTTAATCCTCAAAACACATCTCTATGATATGATACTATTATTCTCCATTCTACAGATGAGGAAACTGAGGCAAACTGAGGTTAAGTAACTTTACTGTTTGCTGTAGCCAAAACCTGACAGTAGGCTGATAGGCTCTTGAGTAGTACCCTCCCCCCTTTGCTTTAGAAAGTTGGCAATTATAAATCTTTGCTCTGCCTCTTTGAGATATAAATCTTCTATAACCCAGAACTGTCTTCTGACATTCAATGAGACAATTCTGCTCTGGTTGTCAGCCAGTGGATGCCTTGCTCTAAGTTATATCACTGCTTCCTGTCATGAAGATAGGAGAAGCTTGTTTTTCTTCTGGATAGGTGCCAATGAACAAACCCAGAAGCACTAGTCACATGGACCAACCTCCCTAACACCCCTCAGGGCTTTTCCCTTAGTACCCTCCAAGGCTTCAAAGGTCTTCTGTTCTTTGTTTTGGCAAAGTTGAGTTCAGTCCACACTGGACCTCCTTCACTATTACAATGGTTAATTCTGAAGAAAATCTGTCCTTACCACTTCAACTAGTGCCCACCTGATTTACCTTTGACCCTAACAAGTGCAGGAGCTGGCATCTGAACACAGGCAGTCCGACTAATGCATTACAGATCATTCAAAGCAATATGAACAATTAATGACTTACAAGCAAACATAAAAACAAAAGTCAATTTAGAGTAGCTAAGCATATATTTGTAATAATAAAGGATCAAAGGTTGCAATTAAATGTAAACTAAACTTCTTTTATATTTGGATTTAACAGTTTTCGGTTTTATTTTACCTTTCATTTTATTATAAACCATCGCAAGTTGTTTTTGGAATAGTAAGTTATAGGAATAAATACATATATCAAGTGTAAAAAGTTGGTTCTTTTGATTAAAAATAAACGAAGCACAATAATGGTTCCATAGACGGAACAAAGGAAACTACTATCATACTCAGAATTGATTGGATCCATGTTGTAATTCTTATTCTCATCAGCAGCTGCACAATTTAAAAGGACAGAATAACTTGGGAATGTCTTCCTCTTACCAATTTTTATTTCTTGGCTTATACCTTCTCCGATAGTGAGAATGTATTCAAATTTCAATGGTTTCTTTCCTTTTCTGTGGAAACCAGTTTAAAAAAAAAATGAGGACGAGATGAGGGAGAGCCTCTGCACAATTTGGCAAAATTGTTTTGGGAGAGCAAAGTCTGTTTTATACTTTGATCAATGGTGTACCATGCCCCATCATACTCTGATTTAGTCTTTTACTTATACCCCATTTTTCAAGATAAAAATAATTCTGTTAGAAGAAAAGAAGGTAAAACTTTTTTTTCTAAAAATGAGCACATGAAAAAATAGTATGTATCAAATCAATAATTAGCCTTCAGCTAAAAGCTCTGAAGACCACAGTTTGATGGAACAGAGAATAACAAAAAGTAATTTATTCTTTTCTCTCAAGTGTAAAAGGTGTCAGTGATTTGTTCTGTAACATTCTGGTAACATAGTTTGGTTCCTAGAATTTAGTTGAGAGCTCAAGATCTATGTAAGATCTATGATCATATGGGATCATATGATCTAACGATCATTTACAGGGTCTAATCGGAGAAGCCATATCTTAAAGATGACTCAGGGCCAAGTTCTGTCCCCCTTAGGCTGGCTGAGTCTGAGTAAGAACTCTTTTTGTGCTACTTTTTCTTCTCACAATTATGCTGTGAGTAGGTCTAACAGGCACTGCATCATTTTTACAGAAATGGAAACTGATTCACAGAAAGGTTATTGATCTACCTAAGGCTACTCAGGTAGTTAGTGTCAGAATAAGGATTAAAAGTCCTCAAGTTTATGCCTTTAAGACGATTAGAGATAACTATCTATCTTTCTTGCTACTTTCTTGTCATTAATCTAGTTTCTTGCCATTTTAATCTAGTTAAATTGTGATTCTGGAGAGTCTTTGAATCTTCATACCTCTTTTTCTCGAACTATGAGACTAAATCCTGTATTTAAAATTAAATGTAAGACTCTTCATAAGTAAATGAGTAGCTTTTTTTTTTTTTTTTTTTTTGGCAAGACAGGTAATTTGCTGAATAATGGATTGGACAGCGGCCTTTGCCAAACTATTATGAACTCATTATAGCACAGGGAAAGAAAAATTATTTTGGTGATTACAAAATACTGTTTCCTCAATACAGGTTAATATCTATAGCAGGTTACCAAGAAATTTAAATTCCATGCTGTAAACAACGGTCAATATAAAAATTTAAGGCTATAACATATAATTACATAGTTAATTGCTACCAACCTTGTGATAGACAAACTTTTTTTAAAAAAACAAAGCCTCTGAAGACAACAATATTAAGAAAACTGGGACAACACATTTCTCAAAGTAATAAAATCATTATATCACTGATATGAACAAGTAACCAGTTATGTTTTTCTTTTTTGCAGGATGACCATCAAGAACACGATTTAATAATATGTTCATCAGATCAATGTAATCTCATACTCTCTGTCAACCAACAATACAAAAAAAAAAAAATTCAAATGACTTAAACATTCAATCAGCACTTGGTGTATGATACCTTGTAAAAGGGAAAACATTTACTGAGCCTTCTACTTTATTCTAGGAGCTTTCCATCAGTTATTTGCCATGATAACACTGCCAGGTGGTGTTTAAGCAGACACTGTTTTAAAGGTGGAAAACTGAAGCTCAAACAGGTAAGTAACATGTTTGTGATAAAACAAAGTTCTTGAAACTGATGAAATGGAATTTGAACCCAGCTCATTAAAGCACTTCTGTTTCCAATATAGGAAGACAGCTATTAAAAGGTTGTTTTTCAAACCTCTCTAATATTTGAAAAGAAAATTTCAATTCTTAGACACAACTTTAGTTGTTTCTTTGATTAAGGGGAGAAATAAAGAAATCAAAGACACATGACATTTAACAGGACGTTTTAGTCCAAGTCCCCTAAATTTTCAATAGCACCTGAGAGTATTTCATGAAAGCCTGTTGACAAACCGCAAGGAACTAGTCTACAGCCACAGCAATTTAATTTTGCCATTATTTTGTTTCTGTAAAGTAAAGCTATTTGAAAGCATATACATAACTCAGATCAATGCTTCTCTCCAACACGTTCTGTAGACACAAAAATAGCACCTTACTGCCCATTATAATAGCTTCTTCATTTGAACACACTGTCCCAGAAGGGATGCTTCCATAATTCAACCCAAACTACCAATACAACCTTTCACCATTTTCCATATATCATCATCATGAATCCTCTTTTTCTCTCTGTGGGAAAAACATTGGATCTGAGCTTGGTGCCAGGGGACTGTCTGTAAAATACTGTGGATTCAAACTGCTAACATAAGGCTCAGATGTACAAAAAGGGAGAAATAATGTGAATCTACACAGCCGTGTTTCCCAGTGCTCTCTGTTATGGCACATCAGCCAAATCTGAATCAAGAGGGATATGATATTGCTGATGCTTCTTTACTGCTGCTACTGGGAACTATCCAAGAAAAGCACATTTTTTCCAACAAAAGAAATGCACTAGAAATGAAAAAA